CAGCTCCACCCGAACAGTCTATCCATAATATATCACCAGGGTCGGTGATATAGATGACGGGTCATATCAACCAGCTGTCTGGGGATCTTTAAGGAGAAAACAATTGACAATTCAATAAACTGCTGGGCCTTGACATCTCTGTTTCCAAAAGGGCAAAACTTTTCCTTCACTTTTTATCACCCTGACACCAGTCTAAGTTTGAAGTGATTACAATAAGTTGTGTAGCAAAATATTTAAGAGATTTTTGACTGTTGGTTGTAGTTCCTCATTCTGTCTCATCCTCAACTTAAATCTGGCATTTCTTCAACAGACTAAAAATAATTTTGCATACTTCAGCTGGATTATACCACTAAGTCACAAGTGAAAATCACACTTTACAACCACAACATTCACCTTGACCTTGTCTGTTTCTCTAAGCAGTGTTGCTTTGACAACAAGGAGGAGAAACCTGTGAATGGATGACACGTTAGACCTAAACTACACTGAAATGACAGCAGAGTATAAACACAACCATGATGGAAAAGTCACAGGAAGGAAACTGTTAAGATGCCTTTTTACAGGCGACTCAACCGAGGCAGAACAATTTCCTTTCTTCTGTTCAAAGCTTGGCTTTGTGGGAATAAGTTATAGCAGAGTCAAAGCCCCCGCATACGAATTACAGCACAAAGTCTAAATGAGCATTGTTTCTCACAGCACATCTGACGCACTTCCTTTTTAAGCTGTCTTCATATGGTGTCTGAGCTAAATTTGTGGGTTTCCTGATTTGGTGGCAGAAGTGAAACTCAAAGCGCAATCAGAACAGACATAGAGGAAGCATAGGTACAAACAAAGAGGAATGGGTGAAGGGCTTCTGAGACATTTGGTGTGACAGTAGCAACAGTCAATTTATGGGATAGTGAAGGCGTAGGCACATTGAATATAATTTGTTGTCAGTGCTGTCAGGAGTATTTTTTAGAAAAGTGAAAGGCTTTCAACATTGTGTGTGTATATAGAATCAGATGTGGCCATCAAGGCCAGCAGTCTCTCTGCACTGAATCCGGAGCAAGATCAAATTTAGTTTTATATATATCAACAAAAGAAATGAAATATATTATGACATTCAATCAAAATGTTGCTTTATTTATATGTGCATTCATCTGTACAACAATTCATATTTAAAAAAAGAATATTAACAAGAACTGTACACTCGAAATGTTGTCACATAAATGACATTTGATATTACACAGCAGAGCTGAACCCCTTGGACTTTTTTTAAAACTAAAGTGCCATTAGTAATTTTGAACTAAACAAAGATCAGCCCCCTTTATCAAAAAATATGGCACTAAGGATTTAGGGCCCTTTACTGGAATAATACTTGTGGGAATTTTAAATGTGGCATGAAATATGCTTCCTATACATTCAGCAGCGTTTTTCTCTTCCTGGACAGATGGCAGCTTTGTCTAGTTTCAGGAATATGTCACACATCTTGGATCTGATGCTGCGGGGACATCGTCTTGCTGGCTGGATGCGGCGTCGCCATGGGGTCTGAGGGTGTTCTTGCATTTTGGAATAGAGTGCCCTTTTAATTTCTGATGTTAACCTTTTCCCCCGGAGCAGCCAGGGGAGCATTTTGCTCCCTCAGATCTGCTCTGGTGTAGATCTGCCTGTCTGCTTGGCAGTAGCCGGCCATGTCGCCCCCGGCCTCTTTCTCCCCCCGTCTATGTGGCTCCCAGTTCACATTTCTGCAGAAGAGAGAAGAAGAGAAAAATACAAAAACTCAGGAGCCAAAACATGAGAACAAGCACACAGGCATATTAACACACACACAAGCATGCACTGACTAATAAGTGAGCCTTGTAAAGATACAGGGGGAGTTACAATTAATTTGTACCATTAATTCTCTCAGAGACAACTGATAGCAGAGGATGTATGTTTTGTTCTTTTTGGTTCGTGTGTGTGCACAGGGCCATGCATGTGTTCACGGGCCTCTGAAACACCACTGCTTTAGTACTGATAGCAGGACCCTGATGCTTGTGTAGTGAAGTCTGCTTTTATCACTAAAGGTTGTGTAGATAGTCCACCTGAGTCCCCAGACATGGCATTTACACACAAGAGGTGCTCAGAGATAAACTGGGGTGGGAGGGGGGTTGGAGTAAAGGGTAGAAACAAAGTGGCTACTACTACGCACTGTTTTTCAATGTGTAACATCTACTCTGTCAGCGTCTCCGCCAGCATTACACACCGCAGCCTGCTGGCTTGTCAGCTTAAGTGGAAAATGAATAAAGAAAACATTGAGTGATTGGGGTAGGGGTGTAATTCTCTTAAATATGTACCTGCAAGTTCCTTATCCAACATGTTGATAAAACTCTCAAGTTCCCTCGTGTCTCCCAGCTTGGCTGCAGAAAGAGGACAGAAAGAAGGAATTTGAGAAGCTACAGAAAAAAAAAACAGCAGTGGAACATTTTTGTGGAGAAATGCGGCTCAGTTCGATGGTATTTCCTTTGGACCCAAAAGCTGAAAACTAATCTAAGTCCCAGAATTACTGTACTGAACCAAACTGCTTCTGGACCGGCAAAAAAAATTTTAGATCCTTTTCTACAAACTGAAATAAAGCTGATCTTATGCGCTATAAAACCTGGACAGCTTGCGAATCCAACCAGGATCCCTGTTGTAAATATGTTAAGGTATTCTGTGTAAACACAGACAGACTGAATGACACCTCCCTTCTCATTTTCATCTATTGATATTTAACAGTAGTCTGTGTCATTTAAACACACCTGAGCCAGTCTCCACATAGCATAACAGCACAAATAACCCCTGCAGGAGACTTGGAGAGAGGGGGGGCTGAGATGTTGCAGTCACAGCGGCAGGGGCTTTGTTGTGTTAAAAAACAGAGCTCCCAGCCTAATGTAGAGAGTTTTTTTGTGTAGCTGTGACAGTGATCAGAGCAAAAGGGATAGTGATCGCTGTAAGACTGAGGGCTATCTGGATGGAGATGGAGCTGATGGGAGACTCTAGTACCTTTCGGTGCCAGCGTTATGCCTGCTGTGTGAAGCTCCTCCTCGCTGGTGTTCAAACTGTTTCCCAAAGAAGCTTCACTGCCTGAGGAGGGGGGAGAGGGAGGCAATGAGGGAGTGAGTGGAGACAATAAAAAAAAAAGATAAGCACTAAGGCCAGCCGATGCAAATGATCAACAACAACGACAACAATTTTAACACAATGCTGGAGTTGCATATAATGATGATAACATGGAGTTAAAATGAAGGTAAACACGTGTTCACTGTTAGCGACTCCCGAGTGTCAGCTTTTTGAAAGCGGCCTGCCTCTCGAAGCGTTAGGGGGCCAAAATACTTTCAATAATGACGACGCATGGGAGCAGAAAAACACACTTTCTTCTTTTATCTCATAAACGTCGACAAACACACAACAGCAACAGAAAAAAAACCCAGACAATTACAGGAGATGGGTTATCCATAATTGCAATTTTTTCCAGTACGCAGCTACAGTATTGTTATGAGCAAAACAGACACTTTAATAAAAGTGTACAGGGAGGTGTCCTCTTGTACCACTAATTTCATGCAAATTAAAAGTGTCAAGCAGCAGTTGTTTGGGATGATAAAGGGGCTTAACCAGCACCCATGGGGACTTCATACAACCTCACTCACCAGCAAATGATGCACTAGCACTTTGAACAATAAGCAAACATTATCTTGATCACAGTAACATTATTCTAGGGTGACGATCCTGTCACTCACTGTAATCCGAGTCCTCCACTCCACTGTCGTCCCCCAGCCCTGTGCGACTTTTGGCCTCGTGCAGAACGTGTTGGTACGCATGAGGTTTGCTTTGAGAAGGGGCCTTCAGTTCCTCCACCACATCCTGGAACTCCTGCAGCAACTCGCCCAGCTCGAGCTCTAAGTCTGCGGAAAATGTGAGAGCAGTTGGAGAGAAACCACATTACTCCACTGAAAGGAAATGTTAAGATCATCCCAGTTTATTTCCAAAAGTACATTAGTAGGGTTGCGAAAAAAATTGCATTTTAAAGACCCGTTTATTTAGAATAGCCTTTTTTTATATAAAACAAACAGAAAACCTATCAAAGATCCTGGATATGTCCCAAATATAAGATTATAATCATTAAGATTTGACTTCTGGATGAGAATGGAATTAAACAGAAGCTATAAGCCAAACCCTGCAGCTGACGTTTATGTCAGTGGGTTGTATCAGATAACTTGATGTATGATAATAAAGCTAACAGCCCATACGGCATATAAAACATCTAACAGCCTGTAAAACACCTGGTCTGCAAACTGTGATAAACAAATATTACATTTTAAGTCCAAGTTCTATGCTTTGGGCTGTAATAAAGAGACACTTTCGGCCATTTCTTGAATAAATACAGAGTCATAAAACAAGGGAGGCAGTATGGGATGAACGCATTTCAGTTTACCCACCATTTCATCAGTTATTTTATTAGACTAACATGAATATGACAGAGCTTTAACAGTTCCCTATGGAAAGGCAAAAAGTAGCAGGACACAGCAAGAAAAAAAATGATTTAAAAACCTGTGAAAGAATACAGCATCCAAGAAATATTGACTGAATAATAAAAAATACAGATATGTGCCATGTAGACTGTGGAATACATACCAACAAATAGAATATAGTGTAAAACATGTCAATTAAAAACATAGCAGACTACAGTTTAAAAAAAACTGCTCACTCCCTCAGTGTAACTTTAATTTACATCAATATAATGTGAAAGGTAGGCAAGGTCTGGGGTTTTAAGAGGTTAAAATAAAAGTTACAGCCTCTCTAAGAGCTTTACACTGGTGTTAGCTGTTTGTTATGATCACAAACATCACTGCATCATCATTTAATGGCTCAAGTAGTCGTTGGACTCACCTGTGTTAATTTCTGAGGACATGTTGGAGCAGTGAAATAAAACACCACCGGGCTGCTGTGTGTCTGAACGGTTACAAGCTGATGCAGTTTATTATAAAGCACCTCCACACCCGCTCATGCAGCGGGCCGGAGCAGCCAATCAGGTCGCAGAGAAACCTCAAAGGTCTGCAGCTGCTCTGGTCTTAACTGGAAAAAGTGGGCGGAAAGTTGAAAGGAAAAGCATAAGCAAATGAGACAGAAATAATCCGTTACGCAACTCAGGTCGAGGCTTACAGTCTGTCTCCCCTCCATGCTTTCAAAATAAGACGGAAACTTTGTGTAGACTTTAAAAGTTACCCGTTTTTTAATAAGCGATTTATCCTGTTTGGGGCGCAAGCAGCTTGCTACAATAGGATTTTACAGAGGACCTTAAAGTGTTCTTCTGAGTTTGAGCGAGGCTTTATTTAGGAATATAAACTGATGATGATGATCACATGGTGAAATCAAAAGTTGGGACTTTTTTACTTTGCTACATAGTTTTCATTGTGTGAATGTATACCTGAGTTTTTCTCTGTGTGGTGGATACTCACGTATTACCTTTTTACTTGAAAATAAAAAAAGGGTTAAAAAAACAGGGTCTGTTAATGCATTAAAACCCAACTTTTTAAATAAATAATTTTGCTGTAAGCGGTGCAGTACTCTGCTCTGTCGACAGAGGCCCCTGATGTGCAATTCCTCCCACAAAACAGCTGTTCAAGTCCTATATCAATAGTGGTATATTTTGATCCTTTACTAAAGTAATGATAATACCACAGTGTAAAATACTCCAACAGAGCACATATAATGCAGAATAACCCCTATTAAATAGTATTACCAATTATATATCATATTATATCGGTGTGTTATAATGTATGCATTATTGTGTAGAATTTTAATGTTGTCATTGCTTAATATACTGTTGGGAAGTTTATGGCATGAAAATACATCCTATTTTAAAATACGTTTTGAATCTTTAATTTAATCAGAATCAGAATTAGAATCACTTTTACTGGCCAGGTATGTGCGCGCACACACACACACACACACACACACACACACACTGCTCTCAATGTACAAACACATACTATCTTTATGTACATGAGGTAGGTGGATATGACCGTCTACTGTAGATACAGTACATATAGTAAGAACAGCATAGGTAAATGTATTCGAATAGAATTTATGTTTTAAAAAAGAAACAGAATTTTCAACAATGGGAAACCTACAAAGTAACTAGTAACCAAAGGTGTTGATAAATATAATGCAATAAAAGTTACAATAATACTCTCTGAAATGTAATTCAAAATTGTACTTGAGTAGTTACTTTTTACCGCTGATGTTCACCTATAGAAGAAACTTCCAATTTATGTCTATATACAGTATGTTCCCATGTGAATGCAGCAACAGTTAAGCATTGTTAACACTGTTATTGGTGTTATTTATAGAGACTTGATCCCAAGGGTTATAAAGGCTTCTGGAAATTTGGGCAGAAGAAAACAGCACCGGAAGAGAAAAATGATCCGGAGGCAGTTAAAACATTATGAAGTAGTTAAAAAAAGGTGGCAGGTGTGCTAATAAAAAGTGTGTAAGCACATTTGGTATTAGCACATAAATCCTGTCCCATATAGTTAAAAGATAGAAGAAATAAAGGATATGTACATAACATAAGCCCCATGCTTACTCATTGTTTTTTTTTTCACGAGTTGCTTCAAATACATCTATTCATCTCATGCAGATAAACCTGTTGTTCTTCTGACCACTCCTGTGTCAGTCTGGCACGCAAGGTAAGTGTTTGTAGGAGGGGCATGTAATGAATTATGCCTTGCAGGTTTAGGTTGCTGCTTCTGTCCTCAGCGCTCACTCTCTGCCTGGGAACTTGGGTAACATGTGTGAGGGCGATGGGCCATGGGACTCCTGATAATATGAACTGGGCTGGACTACTGCAGGTCAGTGAGTCAAAAGCAATTTAAGGCTTTTCCATTCTGATGGTATCTAATTACTGTCTCTGTGTTTCTATGGAGTGAAAGGGTATAACTTGAATGTTATTCTTCAGTGTGCGATTTTAAAAGATATAAATACACTGAATGTGTGATAGAGCACTCAGAGAAGCACTGAAGAGTTTGGGGGTTATATAAAAATGATGTTCACTCGGAGCCTCTTAAATATTAAAAGAAAAACTGATAAAATATTTGTGAAAATGCACACAAAAAAAAATATTTTTATTGTTTGTGTGTTATTTGTGTATGAGAGTAATTGGTTGAAGATAAGTGAGGGGCATCACATTACCTTCATTGTGCAGTTGTCTGGTTTTAAAAGGGCTCACTGAGGCATGAAGTTTAAACCTTATCACCACCAGCGAAAACCTTACTCTGTCAGTTTTGAGCGCAATAAAAAGACTGTTATGTCATAACCAAAATCTTGGTGTTTATCAAAGTTTTCACAGTTTGTTTCTTCTCTTATCAGAATCTGCTGGTCGTGGTCCACCTCCGGCAGATATGTGGTTCTGTCTGGTTTTCTATCCCAGAGGAACAGGATTCTGGTATTCTGGCTGGGTCACTTAGTAAACACTTCTCACCTCCGTACCAGCTTCTCACCCAGGAGTATTTGTGGATGGACAAAAACACGGGGAATTTCTACACCACTGAGCAAAAGATGGATCGCGAGGCCCTGTGCCCCGAGGAGACAAAAGCTGAGGAATGCATTATTCTACACAATGCTGTCGTGGGGCCCTTAGGAGACCTTATACAGTTTCCTGTGATCATAGAGGACATCAACGACAATGCACCTCATTTCGAAAACAGTGAAATACACCTGAAGGTGTCTGAGGACGTGACTGTGGGGACCAGTTTCTTATTGGATGACCAGGCTCAGGACAGGGATGCTGGACCTAACGGCGAGTTGCATTACCACCTACAAGATTCTGATGGAGTTTTCAGTTTAAAAGTCGAGGAAGACGGGTCTGTTCTCATGCTGGTGGTGCAAACAGCTTTGGATAGGGAGACTCGGGACCTGTATCAGATAGTGCTGGTGGCCACCGACTGCGGCTCAGACTCTTTAAGTGCTACAGCAACTTTAATAGTCACAGTGACAGATGTTAATGACAACTGTCCAAGCTTTAGCTCTGACAGCCCCCGCAGTGTCACCATCCCCGGAGACTCCCCGAAGAACATGCTAGTTGCTCAGGTCAGAGCCACAGACCCAGATTTAGGCCCAAATGCTGCCATCATTTACTCCCTCAGTCCCAAAGTCTCTGAGCGGGCCAAGAAGCTCTTTAGCCTCGACAGCCTCACTGGGTACATCAGACTAACACAAGACCTCCAGAGTGACAACTCAGAGGAGTTGCTGTTGAAAGTGTTAGCTAGCGGCCATCACTGCCCCCCAGCAGACACTCAGGTAACTGTATCCGTGCTCCCCAAGGCGGACCAAGAGCTGACTGTCAAGATCGGGTTCATAGTGGAGCATCAAAACCAAACTATGGTGTTACTAGAGAACCAGCCCCCCACTGCCTTAGCCGTTTTAGAGCTTGAGGGTGACAGCAGCTTTAGAGACTCATCTCTTGCCATTGAGGGCAAAGTGCCTTTCACTTTGAGCCTACAGAATGGCAAATATCTTCTTTCCACATCAAAGCCCCTAGACTATGAGATGAAAAGTGAACATAATATTTCTATGCTAGTGCACGGGAGATCTTCTGAAGGGACCGCTCATTTCAGGTATGTGATCAGGGTGATAGTGGCAGATGTCAATGATAATGCTCCACATTTCCTCCAGTCTCACTATGAGCTGGAGGTGGAGGAAAACAACCAACCAGGGATTTCATTGCTGCGGGTCTCAGCTTCAGATGCAGACAGTGGATACAACGGCAGGGTGACCTACAGGCTGGATAAACACACATCTACCATCTTTAACATTGACCCTGAGTCTGGGCAACTGTCTGTATCAGCTTCTCTGGATAGGGAACAGCAGGGTGTACACAAACTCACTGTGTTTGCACAAGATACAGGCTCTCCCCCCTTGGAGTCCGTGGCCACAGTATCCATTCGTGTTCTGGACCAGAATGACAATGCACCTGTTTTTCTAACCCCTCACTTTATCTTTTTCACCCCTGAGAATGTACCGCCATTCGCCCAGGTGGGGGTGCTAAGGGTGACAGACCCAGACGAAGGGGAAAATGGGAACACAGAGTTGCATGTTGTAAACAGCAGTGGACCTTTTGTTGTGGATAGCACCCAGGGGACACTGCGCACCACCACCAACTTGGACCGCGAAACAGAGGACCGCTATGAACTCTACCTGCTGGCCAGCGATCATGGGCACCCAGTCTCTTTTACCTCCACTGCCAGGATAACTATCTTTGTGGAGGACATCAATGACAACCAGCCAAAAGTGATCCTTCCCAGCAGCAACTCCTCATGCCTGACTGTCTCTCCAGAAATCATTGCAGGCACCATGGTAACAAAGATCTATGCCATCGACGAGGACTCAGGGCTGAATTCGGAGATTACATACACTGTTGTGGTGCCAGAGCCAGTGCAAAACAGGAGCCCCTTCCGGGTGGATTCAAGGTCAGGGAACATCACCGTAACGCAGCAACTTCTACAAAAACACCTGGGAATGCACCACCTGTTCATTGTGGTCAGAGATGGGGGGAAACCAGCTCCGCTTTATACCACTGTCTGGGTTAATCTGTTGGTCAATGAGAGCATGGAGCCCTGCCATTTGGACAGGGTGCCCACATGGACAGGGGCATCTGACTTGTTTTACAGCCCCTCAAAGGCCCCCATCTGTGAGGTGGAGGACACAAGATCGGCTCAGCTGATACTGCTATTAGGCCTGGGTATGATGCTGGCATCCACATGTTTACTTGTGGTGACTGCAGTGTTATACCTGAAACAAAGGAGAAGAGATCTACAGCAGAACAAGAGGGGGAATATTGAGGAGAATGAGATTCCACTCCAGATCACACACAAATATTACTCTGATGAGTAACAGAATGAAGCATTGCATGTAATCCTCACTCACACTGTGTCAAGTAATGAAATCCGTCTGTGAATTAAAGACATTCTGAATATTTGTCAAAGACTTCTTGTATTTTAATACTCAAATTTATTGAATTATTCTGATAGTGTATTCAAAATTCTGTCAGCAGCAAAACTGCACAATTCTGTGAAAATAAAGTTGATTCATTGTCTAATAAAAGATCCCTGTAAGTTACTGGCAAAGTTTATAAAAGGTGATCTGATAAGTTAAATATTTGGGTTACCAGCAGAGTCCTTGTGCATGAACTGTAGAACTGTAATGACACAGGTGATGTGCACAGCATTAGTCACAAACATAGATTATATCACAGCAAGGTATTGCTAAAATACCAGAGTCCTCTTTAGGGATCATTCTTTATGACCTCTACAGCGTGAAGAAGACTGAGGTAATGGCCCGCTAAGTTAATTGGGTCATTCTCAGATTTCTAACTCTGAGTGACGGGGAGTCTAAGGTATTTAGACCCACAAAAGGGTTTAATGTTCCTCCAGTGGGGAGGTGATGAAAGTCTCTCAAGAAACAACTCTGAGATGACCACAGGGGGCGGAGCACAGCTGTGGACAGGTGAGAGGCGGCAGAGGGAAAGCACACCGCCATCTCAAGTCACCGCCTCACACCTGTTACCTGATAATGCTGCTTCTCACACACGGAACAGCATCTCACCCAAATAGCAGAAAACCTACTGTGCTGCACCCAGTAAGCCAATAACAGGCTTGTTGTTTTGATGACAGATGTTGGGAGTGAAATCACACCGCGTTCAAAAGAAATCTTTACAAAAGGTAGTTGCTCTCATGTGTTAGTGATACATTTGTATGCTGGGGAACAATTGAGATATCAAACCAGGTTTAGTGATGCATTAAGTATGAACGCGTCAAGGTAAAATGTGTTTGCAAATCTGTGAACACACAATTACACAAAGAGGGCAGGCTAATTGTTTTAGCTTTCACTAAGGAAAACATTTCTTATCTTTGCATATCTTTGTATCATAAACTATTGAACAATCCTTTTAAGATACACCTGTGTTACAGGAAAGGAGGAAAGCCACGAGTCAGAGCCTGTAAAACACAAGGTACAACAACCTGGTTAGTGGAGAACAGGGCTTGTATAACATGAGTGGTGTTTCTCTGAGGACTTCTCAGCTAGCAGCTAGCGGCTTAAAAATAAATAATCTAATAGGGTTGTAAAATGAGACTAACTATATTAGCTGAGAGGAAATAGAGAGCCTCATAACAAAATTACAAATTAAAGGAGCATCTTTAGATGAGGATAATTCCTTATGGAAAATAATTATAAAGGATAATTCCTTATGTAAAGATGCTGCTTTAATTTGTAATTGTCAGATTCCAGTAGAACATGTACAACCTAATGTATAAACAGCATCATTGTGGTTCAAAAGAGACATTTTTGACCTGGTTGACAACATTCTGACAGTGGATATTTTTTTTTTATGTTTAGCCATGCTTCTTAACAAAACTGACTTTTCTGAGAAAATTAACAGTATTGACGGACACAACTGTATAAGTGCTGTGGCAGGGGAAAGCCTGCCATCTACTGGGCACAGATGAAGCCAAATCTGGCTCTTTATTTCTGGTATTTGGCCAGAGGGTGGAGATGAATCAGAGGACAGTCTCTCACTCCGCCACAGTCAGGTCGCCTGAGATCAGTGATGTTTCCCTGCTGCACGCTGCTCTGCTCCACTCCACTCACAGCACATCTCATTTTAATCTTTTTTTTTTCTCAAACTGAACATTTGATAGTGGGTTATGGGGTTGCATGAGCTGAAATGGACAAAGAAACCAGCTGGCACAGAACCAAATACCCAGTAGATTATTTCTGAGATACACATCAGGGGTTTTATGATCACAAATGACATAACAATTGAGTCCAATTAAAATACTAGTGATGTTTTTGTTATCAAAGAAACTTGATGTAGTGATGCTGAAAATACTCCTCATTGGTCCTCAACCATCCAGCTTGAAAAGGAATATTTGACTTTATCAAAAGTTGTGTTATCCACATATCCATGGTATGTGAATGCCAGTCTGAGCTTGCTTTTAAAAGGCACATTCCAAAACTAAATGGATAGAGATAAATGGTAAAGCCCATATCAGCGTAGCCAGCTGGGATATCAGATCTTTCCTGTTCAGTACCTCAGACACTGCAGTCAAACAGACATTAGCTGACAGCAAAGACTGGTGAGCATACCCTGACTGTCCATAGGCATGCAGCATCTCATCATAGACCATCTGCATGATTCATGAGCTGTTTCTCATTTGGTTTTATTCATCAGTTGCCATGTTTTGTTGTTTTTTAACAAAAGGCCTTGGCAAACCTGGGACTGCATGGCCTAGAGTTGGGATATCCAACTTGCAGTAAAGGGAAAGTTAGTAAATTTCCTTCTTCTGTATTTGCATAAATTGCAAGTTGCTCTCTCTCTCTCTATATGCAAATATGCGTCAACAATGAACTGAGGACCTTTCTGCAAGCGTAAGAACCTTGACCTCCTCATTATTCTCCGCCTTGAAGTTCATTGAAAAGCGACATTGTTTCTTTAAGATTTCACTCGCAGTCATCAGCGGGTCTGTCCATTGTTGGGGGAACAGAAAGAGAGTTGAGATTGATATACGGGGGCCGAAGACAAGTTGCGCATATCATCAGCGGACCAGCTGCAGTGCAGGCAGCAGCAGTAGCCAACAAGTCCTGAACGCATCCTTCCAGACATGGGTAAGAAACTCCAGCTACTCGAATCTACCTCTATTAGCTTTTAACAGATAGAATACTTCACATTATCAAATCTGCATTTTATTTGAAGTGATTGCACGCTGATATGGATGGGACTGTGAGAGGGCATCACAAGTTATTAGGTTTTTTGTCAGTTTAGAGGTCGGCCACTCACCGGCTGATGCACCACTGATATGATGAGATTTATTTCATGCTTGAGATGGCAGGACTACTTTCAGAGGAGCCTTGTCGCATTTGCTTTCGGTCGCAATCTTTCTCAATTTTTAAAGAGCCAAACTTGGCCTCGGCCATGTTTTCTTTTCTTTTTTTTTTTTGCTAGGACGAGGCCCGTATTTTCATTTGAGTCACTATCATGAGACTGTGGGCAGCTTTGGTTGACAGGGCTTCAGCATTAATTAGTTAATTGGCACAAGGTGTCTCTGAAGGCATGCGCGTTAATGTTGGGGGTATCATGTTCTGGTTTATGTTGTTGGGCTACTTGTGCTTGTGATGACCACAACTCTGCGCACACACAAAGTGCTTCCTAATGTAAGAATACTGAAAATATTTGCTAGTTTTCTCAGTTTAGCTTTTTAAACTCACTCTTCAAGCATAGTAAAATGACAGTGAGCACAGTTTGCCTCTCTCTCACTCACACACACACACACACAGCCAACACAGCCATGTAGATGTGTTCAATTAAAGAGCTATCTATTTGCCCCTCCTGCCATCTGTGTTTACTGTAATGGTACCAACCACAGTCTGTCTGCTTCCATTGTGCGTGTCTGTGTGGATGCACGCATGCAAGCGTGTAATGGCACACATGCACACAGTTGCATTGTTTGTTTATAGATTTGCTTCTCCATCCTCTTCCAGCACAGACAGCTCCCCACTATCGCTTTCTTGTTCCCATGTCTCTCCAGAAGGAAGTCTATGAGTGTGTGCATGTGTGCGCTGTGTGTGTCAAGCATCGAGGTGCCTCTGGTCTTTGTTTGCTTGACATTGGTGGCCCTTGTACCCCCATGATGCTGTGGGACAAAGACTGTTGTCTCTGCAGTCACAAAAGCAGCCTCTCTCTCTCTTTCACTTTGTCTCTCCTCTCCGTCCTCCCCCTTTTCTCACACTCCCCATGCTGGGTGGTGAATGGAGTCAGGGTGTGAGCTGGGGTCAGAGCAGACACATCCCCATGCCCTTGGCCCTTGGCATCCATTCAAACAGCACATGACTATTAGGGAGAATGCACAGCTTTAATAAAGGAGTGTTTACAGCTGCAGCTCCATCCGTAGGGACAAAGTAGAATTAGCAAATGTTTTAAAAAATAGTTGGTTCTAATTTTTAAATAAAATCTATAGCATTTTCTAGGCATGCTGGTTGTTTTGGTTTTATGTGCCCAGGTTTTGAGAAATCTCCAAGTTGTCTGCTTCCACCTCATTTCCAATGAAATTCCATGTGGTGTTCACACCAATTAAAAAGAATCCGGAGTTCCTGTTACTCTGTACATAAAGTTTAGCTCCACGACTTGTGATATCATTTGCTTTCATTCATGTATCACCTGAAAATAAAGGAAAGAAGTTATGTTTTTGTTACCTTAGAATGAGCCGTTTTCATTTACAGAGGCTGCAGGTTGCCTTCCATGGAGGCCGCCATGTTTTTACAGTAGTCCAGTACGCACATTATCACATTATGCGGGCACCGTAGTTTCTTCTTTGCACTAGGAAGGGGAAGTTGCAATCTGCAACTACACTGCTATATGCCACTATATTCTACACACTGGTCCTTTTAATCACTATTTCTGGAAATTTCTAGAATAAAGAATAATAGATTAATCAATATTTGGGAAGAAAAACTCACAGGGATCTCCCAAACCTGAGAAGTCACAACCAAAACTATTTGCATGGACACCACCACTTAAGTGAGCAAATGTTTGCTGTTTGTCTTTTTTTGTTTGTTTTTTTCATAATTTGGTTGAGGCAAACGTTTTGTTGGTTTAGCACAGCATGTCCATATTAACTTAACTAAGTCAAGAAAGCCTCAACTGTATATACTGTGCATAATTTGTATTTTGGAACAGAGTACTTCTTCTGTGCTGTCTGTCATATTGCATCAGTTAATTATGTTCCCTGACTTTCACGGTGCTGTGCCTTAACTAACAGGTTGCTATGACTGCTGTATGCGCTGTTTGGGTGGGGTGCCGTACTGCTCCCTGGTTGCCACACTGCTGTGTTTCTCTGGCATTGCCCTCTTCTGCGGTTGTGGGCACCAGGCACTCACAGAGACAGAGAGACTCATCGAGACTTACTTTGCCCGTAACCTTCAGGACTACATCACCCTCGCCTACATGTGAGTGGTAAATTTAAAACTTTCATCATTTGAATGAGATCTTTTTACCCTGACCATGGGATTTCTGAAGTTGTAGTTTCTATTCAGAAGGTTTATTTTCTTTGTAACCATGAATTTTCTTTTTCTGCATCTCCTCAGCATTCAATATTTCCAATATGTCATCTATGGTTTGGCCTCCTTTTTCTTCCTCTACTGCATCGTGCTGTTGGCGGAGGGTTTCTATACCACAAGTGTTGCCAAGCAAACCTTTGGAGAGTTTAGGAGCACCATGTGTGGCCGCTGCCTCAGCTCCTCGGTGAGAGAGGGCCCAGAGTGGGACAAGTAAAGGGGATTGGAGAGATTGGATGGGATTAATACACATATCACTCCCTGGTGGGTGCTGAGCCAAAAATCTTAAAGCTGCTAAAAACCTTTGGGGACATGCAAAGATAAGCATACAGTGTGTGTGTTTGAGCGGTTAGGTTTGGGGGGGCTGAGTGGTCGGAAGACAAGGAGAACAGAGAGTGAGATAATAGGGAAAGCTAATCGTAAAAAGTAAATGTGGTCACTAAGTGAGTCACTGCTCATAAAAAACACTCTCTTAGATTACTTGTGTGGATCAGTCTATTATGACAATGCACCCTAATGTTTACTCTGCTCCTTCCTCATACAGTTTATAGTGATGACATATGTACTAGCTGTGCTGTGGCTGTTGGTGTTTGCCTTCTCTGCCCTGCCTGTCTACTTCTTCTACAACATGGACGCCACCTGCCACACCATTGATGTTCTCACTGAGACCCCAGCGAGTATCAACCAGCTCTGTGTTGATGCAAGGCAATACGGTAAGAAGACCTCTAGTAATGGCAACCTATGAGACCTATGTTTTTTAGTTTAGGGGATAAGTCTAATAAAACTCTATATTTTTCTTATTAACAAATTCCCATGTAAAGACCAAAACCAATAATGAATTGTTCCTACTAACAGCCCGTGCAACCAAAACGCATTCCTCTGTGCCCTCCCAGTAGCTCTGAAGCTGTTCCTAGGCACAGATACTAAATGCTAAAATCAGCATGCTTACATGCTCACAAACATGCTGATGTTTAGCAGATATGTTTACTATGTTCACCATCATGCTTAAGTGTGTTAGCATGCTAACATTTGCTAATAATGAGCACTTAACACAAAATATAACTGAGACTGATGGGAATATCATTAGTTTTGCAGCTCATGAACCTGAAAAGTGAGAGGATCACTGGAAATATTACATTTCATCTTTTGATGGGGACACGAATGTTTGTACCAGATTTTATGGCAATCCATCCAATAGTTGAGACATTTCACCAGAATCGGAAAGGTGAAACTTCATGGTGGCAATGAAGGACTATCAGGCGATTACCAAAGTCATTAGGATTTATCCTCTGAGGAACACGAATGGTTGTGCAACATTCTGTAGCAATCCAGCCAATAGTTGTTGAGATATTTCAGTCTGGACCCCCAGACCAACATTCCCATCCATAGAGCCCTTTTTTATCCCACAGTGAGCCACACTGTTGCACTGGGTGACATGTCCCCTCATTACCATGAACATGGGCATTGATCTTTTTATATGATTTGTGGACAATAACAGAAACATAGAATAAAGCCATCTTTATCGTTGTGCTTGTATGTGTACTTAAGAGAGAGAATTGAATAGAGAAATTTGATTTTTACCAGGGCTCCTGCCATGGAATGCAGTGCCAGGGAAAGCTTGTGGTATAACTCTGTCCACTGTTTGCAAGACCAGAGAGGTAAGAACCAGCAAATAATTGAAGCTCTGGATGTCATGTTCTACAGTCTGCCTGACATGAAATGAAGATGACATGTAATCACCATTAATGCAAATCTCCTCCTTTCAGTACCGAATGACCTATGACCTCTACATTGCTGCCTTCGCCGGTGCGGGCATCACTCTCTTGGCTCTGGTGAGTGATTATGCTTCAGCCGTGGCCAATTTGACTGCGTTTCCACTGTGGGGTACAACAATAGCGTTATGGCTCATGTGACTTAGTGACGCTCAAAGTGTGGGCGGCGAGGCATCTCAGGCCTCCATGACTGATGACTTCTGTACTATTGCTCTCTGTTCCTCTTTCTCAGCTGACACAAACATCATAATAATGCCGTAATGTCTAGTGGTTTTCCAGCCAGACAAATGTTACACCCATTATACTTGCATGCTCCATTACAGAAGCTGTTATACGGGTGGTATCGGCTATCAAATTAATGTCATTAGCAGACAATCATATTTTTTTTTCTTATTTGTAGAGTTTCAGGATGTGGATTTTTCTTTTCACTTCTGTTCTGACACTTCCTGTCTCTGTTTGTGCTTCCATAGCTGACCTATACTGTGTCAACCACCTATAACTTTGCGGTTCTACGGTATCTGGGGAGAAAGGGCATAGGTGCACGGTGTTAGGCTCCCCAACTTCCTCTCTGCTCTATCATTACTTCACCAACATGGGGATCTAAAGGGATGGCAACAACTCTCCTTCTACATCATCTGCACAGAAACCACCTATGATCACGGACTCTTAAGTGTTGTCTTATACATTATATGTCCTATATTTTTACTTTTCTTATTGGGAAGAATGTTGTTATTTTGGTTTTTCCTTTCCTTTTGTTTTTTTATATGCGTGATGTTTGCTTGCTGCTTTTACATGCAGTAAGTCTTATTTCAGTATTTTCAATGCCATGTCACCAAAATATTTGTAAATTATTGCTCTTGTTACTTGCCTGTCTAAAATTCATTTTGGTTCCCACTGCACTCAAAAACACAAATAACACACAACTAATAAATTAACATATATAAGAAATAACCACCAATTTGCAACATATGTGCAGCTAGAATGCAGCTGTTACACAGAATAGGGATTATAGGTTACCATGGTTACCATGGTTACCATCCCGCACATCTGGTTGCCATGGTGGCAGACAAGCATGCATTTGCAGTCTCACACTGACCTCAGGACTTTTCTCACGGGCTGGAGAAAAGCCTCAACAATGGAGTCATGCCCGATTTTAAAAGCTAGCCAATGAGGACCCAGTTGTGGGGGCCACCTGCGCTACGAGTCTCTGCCAAGGGTTATATTACATGTCAAAGGAGGGGGTCCTCCAGACAAAGAGAGGGTTAGACCTCTAAAGCATCAATGCAGCTCTCCTGAGACAGCAACCACACACACACCCAACTTCATCCACATGCTGCTGCATGACCCCCACTGAATAATGGAAATGATGGATTCAGAGTAAGGGGACTGAAGGAATTTTAGATTATTTTAAATAGTTTCTTTCTGACAAAGGGACATACTTGTTTAGTTTGATCTAGAAAGGTCTGAAATGTTCTCATAATCTTGAGACTGCAAAAGCACTAGGTGCTAAATTATCGAGTGACCTCAATTTATTTGACCTAAAACCTGAGGTGCGAGTCCCCCCCCCCCCCCCCCNNCCCCCTCTGCTGTTAATGCATGAGACTGAGGTACTTTTATAGAGATAGGACAGCTTTGTTTTGTCTCTAATTCTTTAGGAATTTTGTTATTGTAGTTATTGTATAACATGTTTACTTATTGTAGCCGAATTTACTACTACTTTTACACTTTGGGTATTACTAACAAAACCTTTTGCAACATAATAAGTAGATTATTCTATTTGGTGGAAGCTTTACCAAGCTGTGAGTGGTGGATTTGTCCAGTGGCCGCTGGCTGTTTGATTTTCTTGTGTGTGTTGGTAAAATTTGATAATAAAAGAATATTCTTTAAAGTATTTGTGAAGAGTGCATCTTAAAACATTTGTTTGTAGTCTGTGAAAGTGCGGTGTCTGGTGTAGTGTCAGTGTTTCACTGGCGCTCCATTCTTGGCTTCCCGCCACATCTAGGGGGCCAAGGTATTTTGTAAGGTGTTTTGTATTCTCTCCTCTTGTGTCCACAGGTGCACTGTTCCCTGCACTTGGCTGTGAACCAGGTATATCTGAGGAAGCTGAGGCACAGGGCGAAAGAGGAGAAGAGAGGCTATGACCTGTATGGTAGGCTACAGAGAGACAGAGGAGGGACATTGTGCTCTCCATACCCTGCAAACACACCTGACATCAACTGACAAGAGCCTTTCCATGATGACAATGACAATTGAGCTGGTCATCAAAAGTATACTGTTTTGTTGTTAAAGTTTTCCACTTTATTGGTACAACTTGGTGGTATTTGTTAAATTGATTCCCTTCATTATTTTGATGTTTTCATTAAGATATAGGCTATTGTTAGATCTAAAATTGTAAAATGGTACAAATGCATTTGGGAACTGACCCATAGGTTACAGTTGGGCTTAATTCCAATAATGTTCTGCATTTGACCAGTGTATATAGAACCTATACTTTCTTTATATTTCCTTAGTTTGAAAGGCAGAAATTATGAAAAAAATAAAAGTTGTTTTTCTTCTGCCCAGGTCTAATTTCACAGTATGCGGTGCATGCTTGATATCCTTTTTAATGAAGGGGAAATAAACAGTGTTCATGTCTCTTGGGTTCCCACACATACTTGGTCATTCAAGGAGATTCAAGGTCTTGTGTGATGAAATTCAAACAAGGTGTGTTTTGAGGTATAAATTCAAGACCTGTGTTTTACTTGTTATCATGCTTCATTTTAATGCTGCAAGTATTGGGGCTTTTCTTTCCCCCTGACGGTGAAAATGACTGCAGAAAGGTGGAGAGCTGAAGTATACTGATTAATTTGAGTGACCTATTTCAGTTTTAAAAATAGTTTAAGATCTTTGGTTTTAAAAACTTGAAAGTCATTGTTTAAGCAGCTTTCATGAATTTCCAAGGCCTGATGAGAACAAAAAAACACAGACAAGATAGTGTCCATTTGATATGTTGCATGTTTTATTTGTAGCCAAGCACTGGAGAGTATACACCACTTTGCCAGCATGTTGGCACACCCAGTCTTATCCTCCGTAGTGCAATAAAGAGGAAAAAAGGGAAGTTCTCCATTAGATCAACACATAATCAGGATGAACAGTCTGACTTTCACGCAGCTTAAATCACACTCGTGGGTTGAGCGCTGAGGGTGAAACAGACGTTCAGTGTCATTTCGTACATTATTATAAAATGAATGCCCTTTCCAATTTACATAAGCCATTAATATGGACAGCCCAAAGAAATGTGTTTTTACATTCATAAATATTACAGCAACATAAAGAAAAATACTGATATTAGACTGGCAAGCAACATACTGTAAGGTTATGCTACCAGCTTCTAAGTACCCACTGGTTCTCAGGTAAGTTAGATTCCAGGTAAACACTGTGGTAGGCTACATTAAAGATAGATAAAAACTGAAATGGTACAGTAAGGTGACAAAATATCCTATAAATTTAATCCATAAAATATTAACACTGACAAATGATTAGCTAACAGCCCTCAATTTTGACTTTGAATTAATGTAGGCTACAGGCATGATTTTGTTAAAATGCCCTACTCAGTTCACAGTTAATAAAGTTTCTCTCCTAAGCTGTGAGTACCAGTACTCAACACATCTTATAAAAATGTCAATAATCAAACAAACAAGCTATTTGTTATAAGCCTACATTAAACCAAAGAACCATGTAATAAGTAAATGTACCTGATTGGATCCGGTTCACTTTCACAGTTCACCATTAGTCTGCACGCACACTAAAATATGATGCAATTTTTGAACTTGAAAGGCAAATAATGTGATCTCAGGCAGAGAGAATACACAAGACCTTCAACATAACAGAAAAACGGTATGAGAACACGGACCGCAATGGGGGACTCTGTGCATCCAGGAGATTAAAACATTTTATCTTATTTTTGCAACAGGTAGGGTTGTTTGACTAGACGCAATATAAAATAATATTCCAGCAGCAATCACAATACTGATGAGAATGAATTTAGACCATGTTAAACTCAGTTTGAAGCATTGAATGTCAGGCATATTATTTACTCAAACCGTGCAGGCAAACAACAATGCCCTCTGGCCGATAGCAGCAACACCAAAGGGACAAATTCAAATGGAAGTAAACCTGTATTTAAAAACAATGAAATGAAAGTAAAGTACCATCCAGCTGAAAACAAGTAAACATTAAGTTGTGAGAATACTAAATTATATGCTTCACTCAATACTGTATGAACGGGGTGATGCACATTGCACACATTACTGGTCTTAAAAGCCTTATCTTTCTGCTCAGGCTATTTTATATTGAATGAATGACCAGACTAACAGCACAATATGTATGTAATGTATCAGTAAAGCGTGGGAGACTGTCAGAATAAATGACTGGAATGTTAAGGCCTGCCACGCAATCAAAAAGGCAGACACACTATTACAAACATGCCATAATTATGAAAATTATTGTTGATCTTAATAATTATAACCTCCTCTATACATCAGGAAAACCTACTTTAATCAGCCCTTGATCAAACACTGAAGCCTAATATAAAATATCACACATGCCTGTAAAAAAAGAACGCGTCGGTGGAGGAAAATGTGTTTCACAGAAAAATGAACAGCAGTTTATCAACAACAGTAGCAAAAGCAGCGTTATTTTTTTACTCTGAAAGAAACACTGAACCTTAGTAAACAGACCCGTGTACGTGAATATGTCTAACTCGTACACCTGACACCTCCGGCTACACAATAGTGCTGTTATAATAGTTTAATGAATAAGAGCACCACAACAGCTCGTACCCAATGCTTACAGTTTGAGCTTCAAATTTAAATCTCACAATTCCCTTCTCACTGAGGACAAACAAGGTCATCTTCCTTTTGAGTGCGGCAATCGTTTAACTTCCTCGTACCGTATTGGTCATCATAACCGATGTTGGGAGTTCCCAAGTACAATATCTGTCTGGTTTTGGAACACTGTCACTTATACTCTCTGTGTCCAGAAAATACATTAGCTCTCCACTTCTGCTAAAAGATCTGATAACAAGGAAATGTCAAGGTGTATTCAAAGTCTCTCTAAAAGCTGGGAAAATCAGCTCATGCTCAGATTGAGCAATTACCAGACCAACTGTACTTTATGTTGCCGTGCCAAAGGTAGACTGTGCTCTTCAAGAGAGGATTGCTATATTCTCTCGTCCATTGTATTAACTAAAATTTTACTTATTTCAATTAAAATCAATGCTCTGAAAGCACTATTTGATACAAGTCCTGTATAGGCAGACAACGCGGAAGCTGGGTAAAAATGTTTTTGTGCAACACTACTGGAAGCAGAGTACAAAGCATGAGTGTGCCTGTTACAGTGTGCCTGTACCTTGAGCAATAATTCAACAATTAGGATTCCAGCTGAATCCTTGACACGGCCCTCATCCTGAGCAGTTGTATCTTATCCACATTATCTTGAGCGTATACTGTACTCAGTAACTTCTACCTACAGTATGTGAACCATAAACAATATCTGATGGCTCTCAAAACTGCCATGGGCAAGTTTCGGCCAGAGAGATTAAGACAAGGTGGATTTGCACCCGACCAATCAGCAGCAAGATGCGCGAGAGGCTTTGCGGTTGCCATGGAGATCGATAGTACTACTCAGTAGTGCATGGTCAATCTGGTCCTCAGTGGCTAGAACCTCCCTGACAGCTGCCTCGAATGCAGCTGTGACATTTGTGTCATCCTTAGCACTGGTCTCAAAGTAAGGGCAACAGCCATTCTCCTCGCACCAGGCCCGTGCTTCCTCCTCCCCTACCTCCCTCTGCTCCATGTCTACCTTGTTGCCTAGAACCACAAAAGGGAACCGCTCAGGGTCTTTAACGTCCGAGTAGTACATGAACTCCTTCTTCCAGCAGCCGAGGTTCTGGAAGCTCTGCAGGTCGTTCACGGCAAATGTGAGCAGGCAGCAGTCGGCGCCTCGGTAGAAGGGCGTGCGCAGGGACTTAAAGCGCTCCTGGCCTGCCGTGTCCCAGATCTGAAGAGTAACCAGACGCCCGTCTACCTCCAGGTCCCGGTTGAGGAACTCCACACCGATGGTGTGAAAGGATTGGGAGTCAAAGCGGTCTGTGACATAGCGGTTCATTAGGGAGGACTTGCCCACTCCACCGTCCCCCAGCAGGATCACCTTCAGCAGCAGGCTCTTCCCACTCATCATGTTTCCTCCCACCCAGCAAGGCCTCCTCACTAGGTTACAGGCCTCCACACCAGGTGGTAAGCCAGGGTCAATTTAACCTAAAAAGAGGAAGAAAAGCAAACATAGATACTTACTACACAGTTAAAGGGAAATGAAAATCACCATTGGACAATGTGAAATGATATCCAGCGAGTTCTCAGAAAACATTCAAGTCTCAAACCAGTGTGTGGGCTTGACTCTGCTGGTAATTCAGTGTAGATAACAAGTGGAAAAGAAACATTGGTATCCCACCTCAACCATGAGAACTGGATAATGGTTGACTAGTTTCAGGGACACAATGACAGGGGTGAAGGACCGAGATGTCAGACAAAAGGTATCTGGTTGAAGCTCTGGGTATGATGATTACAGCATTGTTGTTTACTACAAGACACAGTAACACTGACTGACTCAGGATAATCTACACATGTACTATGTTTGTAGTATGCATGTACCGACAATAGCTTAGGATATTTAAACGTTATCCTAAAATAAATGATGCTCTACGAGCCATATAACGGGTGGAGTATAGGAGTCCTACACAACAACAGGGGCGAGTCAGGATCAAGAGCTGACTCTTGGAAACAACCACTGCACTTGCGCAGACCACAAACATGTACCAGCTTGTTGTCAACTGTGGCTGGCGGCTAAAAGTCCAGTTCACCTGCAGTCGGAGGTCTCTGCTAGAACTATTCATGAAATGCTCCAGAGCAGAGGTTAACTAGGAACCGAAAAAGGTAACATATTCCTAAAAACAAACAAACAACATTAACTGTGAAGCAAGCTTAGCAAAGCCGGCTAGTGTGAAGGCTTGTTGACATGCCATCCCCAGACAGGCTAACCGTTAGCTTCAGCGCTCAAAACAAATATTAAAAGCTCTGTAAGCAACGGAAGAACAGATGTTGCGGTGAGGTGATGTGTCTGTAATTGAATGCATCCACTATGTACAGATGAAACATGTCACTCACCCTGTTCCTGTTAGTGTATACTGCGTGGTCTGCCCCCCCCCTCCCCACTACATCTGACTGAGATTGAGGGTCGTGACGTGCGCACACCGCCCAGGCCGACCGGGGTCCTAAAGCCCGTAAAGTTAATCACTCTCCATGAGTAGTCACAACAAAGTGTCTCTGTGGGGGTGTGCTTACTTTACTCATGTACATTTTGAGGTACAAGAACTCCACCGGAGTGTCTTTCTATTCTCTGCAACATTATACTTAAACTCCACAACATTTCAGAGGTAAATATTGTAGTTTTTACATTATGTGACAGCTCTAGTCAATTTACTAGTCCCTTTGCAGATTAAGGTTCTGCATGTAAAACATATGTTGAATGTTGAAACACAATGCATTGCTATAGATCAAACTACCCAGCAGTATAAGCATGGAAGCTACCTAAACATTAATGCAATCATATTAACAACCAATAATATGATATATATTAATGGGATAACACTCACATAACAAGTACTTTTACTTAGATCAAAATAGAGGGACATATCTGTCAATTCTGCCCCATAAAGCTGGGTAGATTTGACAGTAATAAGGACTGCAATCACCACAGACATACTAAAATACTGATGATGAAATAATGATGTAATAAGAAAAAACAAATGTATAACAACTTTAATTCATTTAAGAAAAAAAATTGCATTGCATTAGGAAAATAAAATAAAGGAATTACATGGGTATTTTTTATCAATACTGTATTATAGATGCAGATATGAAACTACTGGTAGTATGTAGTACAAGATTGTTTTGTATTTGTATCGGAGACTATGTTTCAAAGCTGGTTTGACTAAAGACTCATTTCGTATTTGTTATAATTTATTTACTTTAAGCATATTTTGTTTTATGCAAGAAATGAGTCTAGTAATTAATCATTTGTCCACATTGAACACTGAACAAACGAGTGTTGCATTGCACATTTAGTAGAGCAATGTTCACCCCGGACCTGCAGGTGGCGGTGTGCAGCGTGAGTTGTTGGTTCGCGACCCAAAGAAGATGAAAAGCAGAAACTTAGAAGAAGAATCGGTCTGTTTTTATTCCCTCTGCACCGTTGGCTGTTCTCACCGTCAGTCTCCTGTCATCAAACCAACTTATACGGAGAATATCTGTGTATTTTTGGTTGAAGAACTAAGAAACGCACCTCCATGTGTTTGCCGCAGCAATGGTAGGAGACTGTAAATGTTTGGATCTTGGTGCATGCTCAGAAAACCACTGACACGTATGGTTCGAATCTCAATTGCTAGTGTTTGCTTAAGGAAGTTAGTTGCAATGAAAAATCACTGCATTCGTGACGCTTTCGTGTGGGTTATGAGCATCAAAAGAGGGTGGGACTTTGTTTGCGAGACTAAAGAATCACGGTTATATTTTACACAAGAAAGTTGATTTGTTTTAAAGTGGTGAGCTGCTTGTATCCGAGTAGTTCAAGCCTCTAAAATGTCTTTTCTTTTCATCCTTGCAGATGGCAGGTAGGGGCAGGCTGGTGCCCTGCGTGTGTCTGGGGCTGTTTGGTGTCTTGTGCTGGGTCTGGGTCTCCTTTGCCTCCTTTCCAGACGATCAGCTTGCCCTGGAGGCCTTGGATGCAGTGGACCGAGGAGCCTTTCAGCCCCAGAGTGCCCTGTCAGAGATGGAGTTCGCCTCCGTCAGCTCATACACAGGACCTGGCAACAGTGACCGCCGCAGCAACAAGGAGCTGCCAATTCTCCTCTGGTGGAGTGGAGGACTGTTCCCTCATTTTCCCGGTGACACTGAACGCATTGACTGTGCCACGTCCTCCTGCCTGGTCACAAGCAACCGCAAGGTACCAGAGATATTTAACCTTGGCTCAGACAGAGGGAAGATGCATGCTCATATTAATGATAATTATCATCTGAAGCTGTTCTGCCAGTAATCTTGAGTTTGATCTTGAAAGGTCCAGCTGTACAAACGGACAGCATCCATCATCTTTTATGGAACAGACTTCAGGGCATATGAGGCGCCGCTCCCTCGCCTCCGCCACCAGACCTGGGCACTGTTCCATGAAGAGTCACCCATGAATAACTACTTCCTCTCCCATGGACCGGGAATCAGGCTGTTCAACTACACTGCCACGTTTCGCAGGGAGTCGGACTATCCTCTGACCCTGCAGTGGCTGCCCTCTCTGGACTACTTGCTGATGCCGGTGGCGGTGACCCTGAAGGAGAAGAACAGGTTGAGGAGGGAGGGCCTGGCTCCTGTGCTCTACATGCAGTCTCACTGCGATGTACCATCAGACAGAAACCGATACGTCCAGGAGCTCATGAAGTACATTCAGGTACAGTACAGAGATGTTCCTTCAGGGCCATTTTTTACAAAGAGGCATGCTAGATGACTAACTGTAGCTGTTTCCAGTTTAATGCCACGTTTATTAAGACTTAAATAAGATGTATGCTTAGTGAGCTGCAGTTTTCCAGTTATTATACCTAATGAGGAATTATTATAGTTCCACAATCCACATGCTTTAGTATTACTGTATGTAAAATAAACAGAAACAAGCTGTGCAGATGTGGGTAGGCACCTTATAGACAGATCTATGGTTATATTTTAATGTAATGGTATTTGTAGTGTGATTTATTGGAGTATTATTTATTTCAATCTCGATATAGATACCGATTATTAGTAATCAAGGAAACCAGTAACCTATATTTGGAACCAATATACATTTGCAGTATAAATGGAAATCTTGGTGTCCAGTGGTGGAACATACTGTAACTAAGTACATTTAATCACTGTACGTAACTACAATTTTGGGGTACTTGTTCTTTACTTGTTCTATTCCCATTTTATCTCACTCTATATTTCTACTTTACTACATTTTGGAGGTAAATATTTTACTTTTTACATTTATTTTATAACTTAAATGACTAGTTACAGTACTCTGCAGATTCATATTATTAATACAAAATATAAATACATCTAATAAATGATCATTTATTATTACAGAACAAGCTACCCAGCAGGATCTAATAATCTAATTCATTTTATTGATAGTCGGATTAAAAATAATAATGATACAGATCATGAGAAAAATGCTGGATATCGGATCCGATAACCTGCCAGGCCGATAATCTAAGTAGGTCTATCTTCTGACATTTGCTTCAAATAGAACGCTCTCTTTTAATTGTCTGTGTTTCGCCTCTGTTCCCGTTCCGTACAGATGTCAGGACATGTTTTTGCTTGGTGTTGAATGCCATTTTAAGTTGTCGCCATCATTTTAAACCCTACCATAGCCGTCTTTTCATTAAATATCAACTGGCTCACATGCACTGAAAATCTCTAGCTTAGAGTCTGCCTCGCTTTCATTTGCACACACTCATGTACACAAGGTAGGAGGTCAAAATCATTCATCTTCACACATGCAACTGCAGTAACACCTCTGTAAATGTTTTGTAAATATAGCCCAGAGTGTGATGTTTGTAAATTCCCATTAGGGAATGAAATGCTAGAGTTCAATTAGAAATGTCTAATTATGGTTTTATGAAAAATGTAGATCATTAAAAGTGTGTCACTGTCACATTAATAATTTCCTCCTAAATGTTTCACAAGTACGCTCCCATCCTTCTTCCTTCTCACACATTAATTCTCTCTCCGTAGGTGGACTCTTATGGGAAATGCTTGAACAACAAACCTCTGCCTGAACATCTGGAGGACACGGCCACAGCTACTGGCGAAGATCACAACTTTATGAATTTTGTTGCTCGCTACAAGTTTCACCTGGCACTGGAGAACGGCCTGTGTCCAGATTACATGACGGAGAAGCTGTGGCGGCCTCTCCATCAGGGCTGTGTGCCTGTCTATCGAGGCTCCTCTGTGGTGGCAGACTGGATGCCCAACGACCACTCTGTAATCATCATAGATAACTTTCCCTCGCCGAAAGCTCTGGGTGAATTCCTCAAACTTCTTGATGGAAACGATGATGAATATGCGAAATATTTGGAGTTCAAGAACCCCAAACGCATTACTAACACTCGTTTACTGGAGGCTCTGGAGACCCGCGAGTGGGGAGTTAATGACATGAGTAAGCCCAACTACCTGAATGGATTTGAATGTTACGTGTGTGACCAGGAGAATGCACGACTGGCAGCGGAACGAGCGTATAGGAAAGCCCCTAAGAAGAACAAACCTCCTCAGCCTAAAATGGCCAACAACGCTCACATGGGGTGCCCCCTGCCCAGCCCGGGGTTCGGACATGTCCAGGACTTACCTGCAGATGATGGGTGAGTTAGCCTTTAATGATTCACTGTGCCAGGTGTGAAATCCTTCTACTTTCTGTACTTTAATGTGAATAACAATGTCCTGAGGGGAGAGAAATCAGCCTATTTTAATTGCCTAATTAAAATATCCTCTGTGATGAGCTTAATCTGTTTGTATATCTGTCCGCAGATGGTTGCAAATATGGCCTCAGGATTACTGGCAAAGCTTGGACCAAGCAGAGGGGCTGGAGTCTCTGATAAGACATAACGAGTCAGACCCTTCACTGCTATGGAAGCACATCCAAAACATTGCTGTGAGCAGAGCCAGAGGAAAACACTGACACAGGCCTTGAAACAAACAGTGGATGGAGCACGTCCAGGATTACAGGGGTGTCCCATATTATGCATCCCCTCTGTTTAAATGGGGGAATGGATTAGAAATTACTTATATTTTTGCACCTGAGCCAAACCCATTTACCCGTATGAGCAGTTTAGTTATACTATAACAGATTTTGATATTGTATTCTGCTGACATGATACTTTTGTCCTTTTGTCCCAAGCCCAGTAATGGGAAAATAATGTTTTAGAGTGCTATATGCTAATATTTTCAAGTCATTTTATTACTATAGCTGAGGTGCCATCATTGGCCTTGCATTGTTAACATTAACTGCATGCAGTGCAGTTGTTCCACAGAGGCACATTCTCACGGGAGGCAGATTTTCAGACTGGGGCAGAGCCAAAGAATTGTCCTCTGTACCAGAGAGCGCTGCCTAACTGTGTGTGAAGACCATCAAGCCAGTAGCCAATGAACTGCATTAGCTTCTTTACAGTTACTTAGCAGGTAGCTGATGGTTATTACATTTATGTACACAGGTGTTTTAAGTGACTATGCAAGGGAAATATTATTTCACTAAGGAGTGGAGGAAAGTTAGCCACAACTCCCCTGTGGGATAACGTCACTGCATTTGCAAAAGTAGTTCTCAGGAACAGCTCAACTAATGAATTCATGTGGCAGATGCTTTATAATTTAATTATGTAATTGTTTTTATAACACTGCCCATAACTCTTTGCTGTTACATGATGCCAAGTTTGTGTTTATGTGCAATATTTCTTTTTATCATGCTTTTCTAAAACAAGTAACAAAGACTCCATGACAGTTTTGTGTGTTTACTAACACACTGCCTTTGGTAGCACATATTTATACCAGGATTATATAAATCATTTTATTTTCTTAACAAAGCATCATACATGTGAACACACTATTTTGTATCAAGAGGAGCAAAAGAACATTTTGTAATAAAGTCATTTTATTGCATAACTTTTGTTGCTAAATTATAATAGCATACCCCACTGCCCATTAGTCTGTTCACAGTTGCTCTACAGACATTTCCTTCATAGTTTACTGAGGCAGATATAGCTTTTACCACCCAGAAAAAAACAAAACACAAGCTTGTATAAAATGTTCAAGAAATTAGAAATTTAACCTAATGCAAGAATCAACATTAAGTAGTTCACTAAAACATGCCTCTTTGATCACCCTAAACCACGTCATTCAGTTCAAACCGGATACAGTCCAAACTTTTAGAAAGACCAGTTCTCACTTTATATGCAAATGAGCATGAGGGGAAGGGGGCGAGGGTAAGAGGCTGCTGAAGAGCTTCAATAATCACTCAGACTTTGGAGTAGCAGCTCTCACAGTTGACTTTCCCACCATGTAGGAACATGCTGTCGAGAAGGTCTCCCATTGGCTTACTACACACATCACACTGAAAAATTGGGAGATGGTTATTAGAAAATGTAATTATGAGAAAATACAGTGAAGAGCAGTGTTTTTATCCTTGAAATTCTCTCACTAATTTATTGCTCCATAACACAAAGTATACAAAACAGTTGAAGCTTTGAAAACACAATTAAGTGGTTAAGCCTTTGATTCGAGGAATGGCAGTATGCAATAGCTAGATATAATTTGCAGTTCAAGACTTGACTAATAAGCAACAGAGGTAAGTTATACGTTTTAAAGGAATAGTTTGACATTTTGGGAAATAAACTTATTGGCTGTTTTGCCAAGAGTTAGATAGAATAAAATAAAAAGAAAAGATAATCTATACCACTCTCATGGTTGCTTGAAAGCATGTGCTTTCAAAGTACGCTGTTTTTATTCTTTGGTTTTTGTACAGATTAAACAAACAAGATATAAAATGTTAAAGCTATTAATCAAGCTTTAGAGCTGTTGGGGGGGAAGATTGTTAACCTATGGACAGAACCAGGCTAGCTTTTCTCCTGTTTCCAGTCTTCACACTGAGCTTAGTTATAACTGGCTGCTGGCTATAATATCATATTTACTATAAAGATAAGAGTGATATCAATCTTCTCCTCTAACAGAAAAGCAAATAAACATATTTACTAAAATGTCAAACTATGTTTAAGGGGACAAAAATGTTCATTTTGTCCTGGTCAGTCCCTTCAAGGACATGTGAATATATCCAACAATTTATGGTGCAATAAATGCCAAACTGTACCTTCAGCAGAACTGTATCTGAGAAGACAGATTAATTACCTTGAAGCAGACAGGGTGGCAGTTGATATTGAGGTGCTCAATGGAGATCTTGGCATCATCGCCCACCAGCTCTCCACAGTATGTACATGTGGATGCCAGTGAGCCACTGGGGAGACACAGCGAGTGAGACAAGTTAGTTTCACCAATGTCTCAAACAGCTCTCGTGCAACTGCAGCCCTGTCTGGTAAAATGACCTGTGACCTTTTCTGTCCTGCGCAAGGGAACTTAATAAGTGTAAATAATCCTTTGATGTCCCCGCTTAGCCTCCTAATGAGCAGGCTTGGTGGAATTTCTGCCCTACTGCTTACACATATCTAGTTTCGTCAGAACTGAAGATAACAAGGCAGGGGAAAAAGGGCTCAGGCTTATAGCTTGTTTAAAACAGGTTTAGGGAATTGTGTTGTCACCAGGAGTAAGCAGAGGGGCTGCTGTAAGAGTAACCGACAGAGCTTGATGTCAAATAATCTGACCCACTTCAGAAACTAAAGAAAATGTATGTGTACTATCTGCTAAAAAAATGCAGCTGAATCATCAAACATTGAAATAGCTGAAATACTGAAAGCAGTTGAAATGACACTGAAATTACAAAAGTTTCAGTTCAAACACACTGAAATTGAAGTGTAAGTGCTGAGTGAAGATAAAGTATCAATTGGAGTGCTGAAAGTAGTTGAAACGTCATTCAAGTGTAAGTAATCAACTGAGCTGGAAGTGTCAGTTGAAGTAAAAGTCCTGAAAGAAATGAGTGACATTTCAAGTGTATAATCTAAAAGATATCAGTTGAAGTGTCAGATGTGCTGTAAGCACTGAAAGCAGTTAAAGTAAATTGTGTATGAACAGCAGAAGATAAGGATACGTTTTTCTTTTGTTAATCTGAGTTCTCAGTTCTCTGAGTGTTAATTGAAGTGTGCGCATTGAAATGATCTGAAACTGATAAACAGATAAATACAGTTGTAATTTCATTGTTGCTGTAATTGGTGAAAGCAGTTGAATTGCAATTTAAATAGCAAGAGACGAAAGCAGCTGAAGTGTCAGTAGAGGAAGGGCTCAGGTTTATATCTTGTTTAATACAGGTTTAAGGAATATTTTTTTTACCTGAAGTAAGTGGATGGGCTGCTGTACGAGTAACTGGTGCAGCTTGATGTCAAATAATCTGACCCGCTATGGAAAAAAGAGCTGTTAGTAAGTCATCATGAAAGCAGTGTTAGAGAGTTTATACAGGGCTATATATTTTTTCAAATCAATATTGTTATTTAATTGTGTAAATAATATTATTATAGTATTGTTCTTACCCATCGATCGTGTCTCTGGCATTATGCAAGGACAGGTCTGTTGCATTGACATACTCCTTCACGTACACAAATGGCCTGGAGAGGAGGCAGATGAAGAAAAGAGTGCGTTAATCTGCATAGTTACAATATTAGCTGCCACTTTAATTTAAATGTTTGTAAAATCACTCACTTTTTTGCCTCAAATTCTGGTGTTTGGACACGCTGGTCTTCTTCCACCACGGCCCTGGAATAGGTTTCATAACTGGAGACAGAGAGCAGCAGCGTTAGTCTCATCTTTTACTCACAGACGACAGTAGTGTGATGGGTTATACAGAAGGACTCCACATCTGTCAAATGTAACTCAGGACATAATCATTTTCTGCCATCGCTTGTTAATGGCATGCTGTTTAACGGGCTGTGATTTGACAAAAGGACATCTCTAATACACATCATTAATCTGACATCTGGAGACTGATAATTAGAGGGAAGGAAATGAGGGCAAATTGAAAGACAATGGGAGAGCAGATCTTGTCATTTAACTTCAGTAATAGAGTTGAGTCAGGAGTCTGTTTAAGCAGGCATCATTCTGGAGTTGCAGGTAACTTTAGATCGCGAGTATATTAAGCGACTACAGCTGTGTTCCCACAGGGTTTGGCCTAAATCTCTCACCCCCTAAGACAGCTTTGTTACAAACAGAGACAAAAGCAGATTTGGTAGGTAGGTAAATAAAACAAGCCCAGATGACCTAAATATTAAAAGATGTGTGTTTTTTAAATATATTTTATTAAATTAAACATGAACAGGTACGTTTATTTCCATGCAGTACTACATCCTTACAATATTTTTACAGTCAAAAAGGACTAAAAGCACCAGTTAAAGGAGAGTGTCTTCACAAAATCCGAAAAGCATCAGACCAAATAGGAGAAAATAACATTCTGAACAAAGTATTCTTGCATTGTGCTGTCTGACGTTAACAAGATCATAAACTTACCGATCCATAGCAGGCTCTGGCTCACTGTGCATCTCCCTGGAAAGTAAAGAAAGCTGTATTAGACTTTTACTGTAGGCTGGAGCAGTCAATAACCTGGATGGTATCCAGTAAACAAGAATTCTGCGGTTTTTATAAGTGTATGAAACTGATCTTTCTGACTCACAGCTCCAGAGGGGTTGGGGTTTATTGACCAGGTGTGGTCTGCTTTTGTATTGTGCTGCAGCATCACCTCATTCTGAACCCTCATCCCATGCATTCATTGTAATTGTAAACATCACCTCTATGCCTCTCCCACTCTACACTCATTCCAATATCCCCAGTTTTTGATCTTAAGATGTGAGTTTTAAGAATTTCCAATGTTTTTTTTCCCAACCTGATAGTGGTGATGGTTGTGACCGTCTGTGTCTGTGTATCCTCGGGGCTGCAAAACAGAGGACATCCGTGCATTACAATAAGTCTGGCAGTGCAAGTGAAGAAGTGTCAGCATTCAGGTAAAAATAACAAGTTGAGAGGAGGTTGATTATTCTCAGACTGAGCCGTGAGGAAGTTTCAACTTGTATTTAGCTTGCTTCCAATTAAATGGTTGACAGACACCGAATTTTAAGGTGCTATAATCACATCCTGCTAAAATTCTGAAAAATAAAGGGATTTAATATGCATTTAATGAGCCCAGCCACAGTGGAGATACCTTACCTTTCCTCCTCTCCCTCCTCCTCCTCTTCATCTCCTGTACTGGTAGTGATAGTATAAACAGTGGGTGATGTCCACCTGTCCCACGGGGAGTCATTCTCAGTGGACCTTGAGCACAAACAAAGACATGACATTGTACCATGAAGGAAATGGCAAATTCAATTTGTATGTTTTAAAAAAAAAAAAAAAAAAAAAAAGGCTGGATGGGGATCTTCAGCTGTGAGGAAAGGTTGTAACAAATATATATCTGACCTATTTTTATCAGCACCAGTGCACAATGTTTTCTGGCTCAATGAGTAGATGCTGCAAAAGCCTGGCTACTTCACAGTAGTGAAAGGGAAGGAGGTTATGGGAATAAAAGGAGCAGATATGCACGCAGAGCTTTAAATAAAAAGATGACTTACTTTCTCTCAAACTTGACCACCATATTTTGATCTGCTGCTTCAGATTGGCCTACTGGTTTAGCTTCTTGGCTGAGAGGGGACATACAATGAAAGGCTTTTAGCACGTAATTGACATGGATGGGTGCATGTAGATGAATGAAACACAGTGGGCCACACTGTGTGGAAGTGTAAGAGCAAATCAAAGTGTGTCATCACCTCTCATCTGTGTTAGTCTGCTGAGGTGTGCTGGTTTCCCATGTGTGTGCCCATGGCCGCTGAGTGCTGAGACCGGAGAGCCAAAGTGGGGAGGGAGGGAGAAAGTAGTTAATGACAGATCAAGCATATCAGACAAAGTAATGTGCACTGTGTGAGATTAATCCTGTGGTAGGTCCACATCCTCCGTTTCTCCTTCATGCTGTCACTCATACATTTTAACACAGTAGGCACTAGATCAGTTTTAAATACCTTGTGTCAACCAGCACACAATTTTTTAACTTTCCCACTTTTCTGTGGCCTTTGACAGTATGAGCAGTAATGCATTGGAATCGTTGTCTGCAAGGGATTCCAATGCATTACTGCTCATACTGTCAAAGTGCACACAGAAAAAGTGGGAAAAACGTTAAAACAAAATTGTGTGCCCTGGTTGTCTGGGGTGTTAAAGCACTGACAATGAACCACAATGTCTCCTGTTTAAATCCAGCTGGACTCTCTAACTCTCTTATAAAGGCATTAAATGATTTAATAAAAACTATAGGGACACACACAGGGAATATGTCAGTCACACCGGACATAAAGAAAATTCAACTGCCAGCAATTTTGCTGATTGATGAATATTTTCAGTCATTTATAAAGTAAGAATACCTAAATGACTTGGCTCCAGTTTCTAAAATGTAAGAATTTTGATTTATCATCATAATGTGATTATATTTGTTTGTTTACTGTTGGTCTTGAGCAACCTGAAAAAGTCACTCACAAAATTATTGATAATGAAAAATAATTGATAGGCGCAGCCCTATTTCACAGAGTAGGTGTTGGATGCAACTTACGTGGTTGCTGGAATTGGATCTTTGCTCTTCATGAAAGTATATGACGAACTGAAAAAATAAAAATGTAATAATAAAATGAAGAATTATGAATAATAAGCATTGTGATAACCGACAAGGTGAAGCAGTTGTAGTAACTATGATCATATGTTGTACCATGATAGTATCTATGCTACAAACAGAGGTTACAATATAGAAAAAAGGGGAATTTGCATGATCATTCCCGTACCTGTTGATGGGAATATCTGAGAGGGGCTGGAGCAGGTCAGAGGAGCTGCAATAGAGAAAAGTGGCTCATAATCACAAACTGCTGCATTATGCATGCCGAGATGCTATCTGGCTGGCTGGAAAACAGTCACAGCTCCAAACCAATATGATTACCTGTTAGGGGATGTGGTCCCTATCGGATATGGATCAAACGGATCAGCCGAGCTGAAAAACAATTTCACACTGATTTCACTCTCAATTGTCAGCATGGCCCATCTTGTGTCGGAGGAATTCTGATCACATTGACTCATAATGGAAAGATTTAATGCAGTTTGAATGGTAAACAGAAACACAGAGGAACCCAGGGCCAAACTCAATCAAAATCAGAATCTGGATGTCTTTGACAAATGGAAGGACCACTCTGCTGCTGAATGGCAAAATCAGTGTATTTCACCTAAAATGAACCCTGATTGATGGCTTGTTTTCAGACATTTTACCAACAAAAAAATCATTTTATCAACCACATTAAACCTAATTTACTCATTTAACTGTAATGACAATCTATCTTACAATTGAAAACATATTGCATACAATTCTACTTAAAGCACTAGCCCCATATGTGATGTGGCAGTAAATAAACTACCTTGCTTCAGTGACTGTGGTTGTTGCACGTGAGCTCCAGGGATCTGCAATGTCCTCCTCGCTGCATGGAGGCGAGAGAGAAAAGTAAGGAGGTACGGATGGTACGGATGAATGGCACGATGGGAAGAGAAAAGAGGGCAAGTAAAGGTTAGTGTGGTTCTTCTCATACACTATTTACAACGCCAGTCTGAAACCCACTGAACAATTTAACGAGCACGAAAACCATTTGAATGTAGTGCATAACAGACTTTCTGTGTGCGTGTGTGCGTTTTCGTACCTTTTGTCAGAAATGATCACAGTTTTGGTGGTTTTAGTGACTGTCTCTGTGGGGCTGGCGGGCAGAGAGACGCAGCATAGTTGCAGGCAGAGTTAGTATAAATCATTACAAGGCATATCTGAATAAAATGCATTTCTGAGCAGGAACAGCTCTGCATAGATAGATAATTGTTTAAGAGCAGCCTGTCATCTCCCTCTACCTTTGTGTTTCTTTGGCTGTCTCATCTGTCTGCTTCTCCTCCTCTCGCTGCATGCTGAGGCTGGCGGAGACAAAACAAAGCCGCAATACTAATCAGTACAGAACATTCTCTTCTATTTCCAGTCGCGCTGCAGATAAGACGTTGCTTTCTGTTTCAAAGTATAACTCAGTCGCTTCAGGAATCTGCGACTTTGTTTCTATCTAACACGGAGCACAGGGGTTAAAATAGAAAGCTAGAAGTAGAGGAGCCCTGATTTATGGATCAAACTTCAGGCGGATAGGATTTATTAAAAATCTTACACCTCAGGGAGCTGGGATGCTTGGCCCCTTCATCTGTAGTGATAAGAATTAATGGTACACAAGGAGGGAGGGATGGGGGAGCGGGGGGGGCATCACGTTTCTTTCTCACCTGCGTGCATCTGTGTTGATTATGATGACATCATTAGCTAGGAGATCCAGGGTGCCACTGGTCTTTGCTGGGTTTGACTCACTAAAGAGATCAAACACATAAGTCAAACACAGCAGAGTTTGAAACTGTATATCCAACTCTGAGAAGGTAAGTTAAGGTAATGCCTTCACTACTGACAAGGGAGTTATTGATTTTCCTCTGATGAAAGGATAATTCTTCACATAACTCTGCATTTTGGGGCTTGGGTGGGAAAGAGCTCTTCCTATACCTGTCTAGTCCGCTAAGCAGATCCTGACTCCAGCGTCCTGGGCTGGGGGGAACCGGCTCTGCAGGCGCCTCTGGACTGCGGAGATGGAAGCGGGAGAGGAAGAGGAAGCGGAGAAGGTGATGAACAAAGGGGGATTTTGGATTCAGAGGAGATTTCAGTGCAAGAACAGGCCATTTGAGGTAGAGGGGATGGGGATCATAGGAGGTCCAACAGTGCCACCTTGAGGATAATAGTTGGATAATTTCAAATGTGAGGATTGCTTGATTGCACAGTAAGAATGTAATTTTAACAAACCCATCACAGAGAGCCAGGAGATCATCTGTCATTGGTACACAGTTGCTGGGCTCAGGAGCTGGCTCCTGTTCAACACTGCAGAGAGTAAGGGGGAAAAAATATCAGTGCACCTGCACCTGCTTTGGCACGTAGGAACTCATTTCTATATTACATTTTTAAGTACCACATTTAATCAAGTCTAATTTGGGACACCCTCTTGTGTGAGGAAGATTTCAGCACCTGAAATTGAGATGTGGGTTATTTTGTGATTACTTTGAAGTGAACACAGTGGCAGTTAGCCATTATGTCTTCTCCTGCCAGCGCTGCTATGACATGAATGAGGAAGTTGTGGGTTTTATACCTATTCTCTGTGGTGCGACTGTCCGCTGAGCTCCCCTCTTCCTCTGCCAGTACTGGCTCATCATCCTTAAAGCTGGGGAGGAAATAAAGTCTTATTATCAGATGGCATGTTGTCGAGGCTGGAGGCACTAACATGATAATCTTTTTTTTTTTTTCAGATTGGTTTCTGCTGCTTTCATCTTTGTCTTTTTCCAGTACCTGGTTGAACTTGTGTCGAAAGAAATGAGAGTGCCGGACAAGGCGGTGAGTGTGTCAACATTGGAGCTGTGAAAATAGACAGAGAAAAAACAAATGGAATTCAATGGCAGCTTTCAATCACAAGTGAAGAGAATGAGAGCAAACACACGATAGACATACACAAAGAAAACCATCTGAAAGCACATTTAAAGCTTTGAAATTCATTTATTCAATTCTAAACATTTTTGGCCATTATGTGGATGATTAAGGCTCATTATCACAGTCTTAATAACATGTTATAATGATGTTAACAAAATGCAGTGGTGAAATTTTTCTGATCATTTCCTTAATGGAAAAAAAAATAAGCTGATATTATTGTTGATCTTTGTATGTAATATGTTATAATATTTAAAAAATAGGCATTGATTACATGTAAATTTGGTTAGTGCATCTTACCTTGGCTTTGGAGATGGTTCTGGTTCAGTCTTCACTGTTATCTCTGTTACAGCAGTCACTGGTGCCGTTGAAAGTGGGGCAGGTGAAACAGGGGCAGGAGACAGTGGTGTA